TCTTGAAACTGACACCTCGCCAATTAATACAAAAAGAAGAACAAGAAAATTAGAATAAAATAAACCAGACTTAAAAATGTGCACAGTAAAAGTTTTGAAGAACTCCTTACCTGATATACAGAGTTCACATGTCCACGAAGAGATATGATGTACCTAATGAAAAATAAAGCCAATTACATTATTCATGAAATAACATATAATAAGATGGCCAGGATTGAAGGCTGAGGCAAGAAGTTAAATCCGATATTAATTCCACCTACTTTCCACTGTCACCATTCCAGATTTTAACTGACTTATCAAAGGAGGCACTTGCTATCATGCGACCGTCAGGAGAAAAGCTGACTTGATTTATTAGAGCTTGGTGACCTAAAAGTTGAAAATGAACAAACAATGGGTTCTGGGACGTGATACCAAACAACACAATTTCTGTTGATCTTGTCTCATAAGTAGTGGCAATATAAAAGATAATGTAAAATTTATTTTACAGCTTGTGTTATAACTTTTAGAATCCATGGAAAGACCATTTATTGAGTCCTACCAAAATAACCAAAGCTGAAGTCTGCTTTTGTACCATGGAGCTCAATAAGTGGAACTTAATCCCAACTATATAGCACAAACCAACCAAGCAAACCAAGTTTAAAGAAGGAAAGTTTCTAAAGAAACTGTGGTGCTGCATAGGTGGGAGAGTATAACAGAGTCATTCAGAATTACCGGTATCATCTGAATTGATAATGTAAATTGACCACCAGAAAGAGTTTCAAAGCTGACATTTCAAGTTTTAGCCCTTCATCAGAGTGAATGGTGAAGGGCTAACGGATGAGGGGCTATTGCTCGAAACATCAGACCCCTTCCTCTGTCCTATTGAAGTTTCAAACATCTCTAATCTGTATACAGGTGAACCCACTTATCTGACCTGTCATGCGGGCTAGAGGTTTTTTGCTTTCCTCTGGATCCCAAAGAAATAGAGTGAAGTCATCTGAGCCTGAAACCAATCGCTCTCTTCTTCCTCCCTGAATAGAAAAAAAAAGAATTTGATCATACGAAGATAACTCTATCTTGAGCAGCAAGATAACAGCCACCTAGAAGTTAATTTGCTGTGAGCTGATGGATTACCCTTTACACCCTTACATCAGCATGCATATTCTCCATACAGTTCTCTATATGTTGCCTATGGTGCTGACAGAGAGAGTCAGTTTAATAATCAGGAGATTCTTTGGTTGGTGATCATTTCCTTTATTCTCATGACCTTGGTATGTGACTCAGGAGTGTTATTGTAAGGAGAAATTAGATGCTAGTCACCCTTAAGGGGTCAAAGGGAAAATTGATGGTATACCTTTGCATGCGTGTATCTTTGCAGTGCTCTCTCTTTCAGTGTATCATTTTCTGCTGTAACTAATTCATCACTTGAGCCTTTTGATGGATCAAATGCACCAGTTCTTAAAGCATAGTCTGTATTCAGTGCTAAGTGATTCACCTGTT